GGGGTTGGTCTTTGAGAATTTTGGAAGGATCATGATAATTTCATTCTTGTAGAAATGCCACAGTTATAATTCACCTGACGTGAACTGTGCCACACAAAAAATGAACTTTTGGAGTTTTGTCAAATCTGTGTGAAGTAAATGTTAAGTGAAATTTCCAAAGAACTCCAGTTCTAGGCAAATATTATATATCATATAATATATGATAATATAATAACATTATAATATATGATAATATAATAATATTATAATATATAATATCATATTATTACTTGGCTTTATCTTAATTGTGCAGGATGGGCATAGGCTACTGCTTCCCACTTCTCTGAAACCTGTATCTTCTATTACCTCCTCTCTGCTGTCATCCAAGTGATTTTCTGGTAGTCAGAAGTGGGAGATGGCTAACAACAATACAAACTCAGTCACAGACAAACCCTCTGTGTGAGAAAAGACTTTACAAGATGACAACTTATAGTGGAGCAGTTGTTGACACCCGGATAAGTTTAGGAAGAAGAATTACGAGTTCTGCTACTCTACTCCTAGAATTGTAATAACATGTTTTATATTGATAAGTATTGTTGCTCTGCAAGCTTTGAGGCAAACAAGTTGAAAACAGTACCTTGATGTTAGGATGAAGTTAACCATGCGTTAATTGTGCCTGGGCCCTATAGTCATTGGGTGCAGAAGCAAATTGGTACTGGGTCAGATCGCAGGAATGACAATAGAATTGGGCCTTTTGCACTATTACAGAAAGTACCAGCTGCAGGATGTGAGCAGTCATTGATGTACTCTGCTGATGCCTGGTTACTGAATATTCAAGTTGTCTTGAAGCAATCCTCTTCACTGAAGAACCTCACAGTTCTGCTTACGAGATTGATTTTCTATAATGTTATTATTATGTATTATTATTGTTTAATGAGAAAGTCTTGCTTTATAGCTTTTACCCTGTGATTAAAAGCACAAACTCTACAAAGAGCCTCTGGTTTGTGGTTGTCTGTGCTGAGCTGCACCCACAGGTTTCCTTTGTGCAAGTTTCCATCTGACACTAATATCTGACATTCCTTGCAGTTCTTCCTCGGTCTCTCTGCCCCATGTCCTCTCTATATTGCACTATTGTCCTCCTTTTCACACTGCTAATCCTGTGATCAACTTTGTTTTTATTATCTCACAGGGTTGTTTTGCATCAAGCTTAATCAATGATAATTATAACCCTTCCAAGGTCATTCATTATGCATCACCTTTCTTATTATTTCAGCTGTAGGAATTAATTCCACCCCCCCCCCCTTGGGAAATAATTCCCCCCCCCCCCCCCCCCCATCTGTGACACTTCAAATATTTTCCTTTCCTAAATTCACTGTATATTTTTTTGACATTTGTCTTTTACTAGTACTTGCAGGTAGGATATAGGTTCTGTTGTATGCAGGTATAGATTATAGTCAAATTTAGTAGTCTTGTTTCATATGTAATTTTATAATGATTTTCTGTAAACCAAGTATAAATAAAAATCTTGTGTTTTTCTCTTTGTACTCATGATCTAGTGCTTGTTTCTAAGGTAGTTATCAGTGCTATTTCTGAATTGGCACCAGTTTTGCAATGCAACCCATCTTGATTTAGATCTGTACTTTGGATACAACTGAAAAAAATATTGTAATCTAGTTGCTTTCCTTTTTAACGCTGTTGTAGCAATTTCTCAAAGTACTCAGGTGATACCTGCCACGTCAAATTTCCCAAATATATGATGTGTTTTAGGTGTTTTCTTTCAAATACATATTAAATCAGCTTTCCTCCTCTCCTTTAAATCCTTTGCTTTCTTGCAGGAGCACAACTTTGGTAAATGACTATGTTTCCAGGGCAGTTTCACCTAATTAATTGTTCATTTTTTTCCTTCTCTTTAGAACCTGTTTTAAAGTAAGACCTAAACCTTCAGAAGAGCCATCACTGTGATTAAACATTTGTGGGATCCTAAGAGCCAGGTGCATTTGACATGGGGTAGATGATGGTATTCTCTCAGGACAGATCTTTGTTCAGAGACACAGACCTCAGGTGCTGTACAGGTACTCAGGAGACCTGTGCATCAAACCTAAGTGAAAGCTCTTGACTCTTTCAGGTATTCTGAATGACTCAATTTATATACACTTGTCCTTCACAAAAATAAACCCTCGTGAGGCTGCACAACAACACCTTGACCACGTGAAGAGAAGAAAATTGACAGAAAATAACAGAGTAGAAACTTTGAAAATGACCAGCTTAAATGAGCAGCTAAAGCAAAATCCATGGCCTTTGGAGAAGAGCATATTTGAGAGTCTACCTCCCAGACTTCGTAAAGGTGCATGCTTCAGGCTGTTTCCTGTAATTCTGAGTGGCAAACTTTTTTTTTTTTTTTTTTTTTAACATTAATTCTTAGATCTATTGCTTAGAAGTTCTGGATAGTGTGTTTTGTCCTGTGCCATGAGTCTGTGTTCCCATATTTTAAAATATCATAGAGAAAGTTTATGGTAAGAGTGCTCTGAGAATTTTTATTTAATTTTCTAACTGAGCCTTATTCAGTAACACTTGATAATGTTGACTGGATATTACAAAACTCTGAGAAAATTATTGAAACTGCTTTCAGATAGTGTAACATCTTTTCCCTAATAATTATTCTTAAGCACTGCAGGAAGCTTGTAAAGAACAGAATGGATTCTATGCTCAGTTCTCTAAACTCTTCCCCATGCGGGTGATATCCTACCTGATGTTGCCGTACACACTCCCAGTGGAGTCTGCTTACTCGGTTGCTTTACGGTAAGAAACTTGTAAAGAGCTCTTCTATAGAATTATCATCATTTTGGAAATGTACTCATTGAGAGCTTGTTCAGTGTTGGAGGCATTCTGGGACTCAATAATTCAAGTGGTAACTGTCAAAAGACCCTTATTTCTACCTATGTGATGCATCCTAAAGCCTATATAATCCAAGGCTAGATAAATAAACGTATTAAGAAGATTCTTAAATAACACACTCATGTTACTAAAAGCTACCTTGTTATTGCTCAAAAGAAGCAGCCTTAGTTGTGCTTTCCAGGAATACATTCTTCATTACTATATTCTACAGGGGTATCTGAACTCTCTTCACATCCTTCTTGTGCTTCTTTCTGAAGTCTGGAGTGAAATCCACTGTTTAATCACCATTTAAATTCTCAGTTTTGTTTAGGTTGACTGAAAGTTGTGCTCTTGAAGTAAGACTTAATTTGAGAAGTTTCAGTTCTTGTCAAGGAGAAGTTATGCTCTATGAATGCACCATGAATACTAAGCTTTGTGCTTGCTTAAGGGAATTCCAGTCCTTGAGCAGCAGATGTCATGACTGTCTTTAGAAAATCTTGAAAAAACAGTTCTGGTAATCAAACCATATAGAATTCCAATGAAGTATTTTGCTTCTGTGCCAGTGAATATGGCACTTCTGTGCCATTTTTGGTGGATAGGGAGGGAGCAGGTTTCTCCAGATGTCTCTGTGGGGTTTCCTCCTTGTCCCACTCTGATGTAGCTGACTCCTGTTAAGGGGTATCATAAGGAAAAAAAGTACATTTGCTACATTGTTCTTGTTTTGCCTTCTCTTTGTTCTTCCATTGTGCTTTTCTTTTGTTCTTCCTTCCTCTTCCACCTTGCTATAAACTGAGCAGAAAGTTCCTACCACAAAGGTCTTGGAGACAGGAATATTTTGCAGGAATGCACACACTGGTCAGCCACTGAGAGATGCAGTGATATGTGGTGCCTCTTCTCTTAGCTTGTAAAAGAGAGATGAAAAGGTTAGATGGGAATTCAGGGAGGTTGGGAAGAAATGGACACCTTGGTTAGGGGAGTTGGTTTGGGGAGAAAAAGCTGTTTTGGATGCGGGACAGGGTGTGTAAAAACATAACTGAGTTTAAATCTCCTGCTTGCCAAAGCTGTGTGTTGGTTTTGCCTGCAGGTTGATGAACTGGTTTCCTGACATGCCTGCTGATGTTCGATGGATGCAGGAGCAGCTTTTTCGGATTGCTGCAACAGTTTATGCCCAAGCTAAAAGCAAGCTGTTCTGTACAGCCAGGTAAAGTGCAGTGCTGCTGCATGCAAATGATGCAGTTTTAGAAATTCTCTCTTTTTCAAATCAGTTAGTCTTTTCTTCAATAACACTAGTTGGCTTTTGGGGCATCTCTCTGAGCAAAAATGTAGCTCTTGGTATACATTTGCTATTCATCCTACTGTCCTCTCCTCAGTTACTTGATAGCACACGTAATCCAGTGTCCTTTCTTCCTTCTTAGTGATATTTTTGATTCCTTTCCACAATATCTATAGGTTGGATAGTAGGAAAAAAGTTTTTCACGGAAAGAGTCATGAAGTTCTGGAATGGCCTGCCCAGGAGGTGGTGGAGTCGCTGTCCTTGGATGTGTTTAACAAAAGACTGGATGTGGCAGTCGGTGCCTTGGTTTAGCTGAGGTGTTAGGGCATGGGTTGGACTTGATGATCTTGAAGGTCTCTTCCAACCTAGTGATTCTGTGATTCTGTCAATAAATTTGGGGATTGCCACCTTCCTGCTTTTAACCCTTATTTAGCAGTCTCTCATATTCCAGTTTTACCAGTCTTGAGTCTCTTCATCTGAGACAGGCTTTGAGAAGACATAGAATGACATGTTTGTCTCAGAAATAATTTCTAAGAGGGGTTCTTTGCTCATTGCATCATGATTAAACAGAAACATGGTTTTCCTTGTGGAAAAGTAGCTCAAACAGTGTTGAAGTGTCTGTGTATGGCAAGTTGAGGTAGTTTTGCTTGTGAGAGGGGTTGTGGCATATTGTTTTGTTGGGTTTTTGTTGTTTGGAGTTGTTTTTTTTTCCCCAAAAGCACTGCAAGAGAGAAGAGAAAACTTAAAAAAAAATAGGATGTTCTTGGATAAAACTTTGTTTCCTGTTTCTCAAATTGAAAAGGGCTAACCTGGTGATTCAGGTGCTGGTTTAGAGTGTAGACAAGTTCTGTTCCAGTTATTCAGGTTGGTGATAACAAGCTGATTGTAAAGTGGAATGCAGAGATGGCCTTTGGGGAGGTAAACAACTGTATTTACTACTTGCAAACATGACAAAAATGCCATTGAAACACTAACAATCTCCTTTTCCTTCCTTCTTTTTTAAACAGGAAAGACAATTATGCATCACTAAGAAAATGTCAAACTGTCCCATCTACTGTGGAATTTCGTTCTTCATACTGCCACCTTAAAATGCCTCACTCTTCTGCACACATTGAGAGCTGGCTCTGGCAATCTTCATGCTTCATGCACTCAGCTATGAAAAATGCTCCTGCTGATGTCCAGGAGCAGTCTGACTTAAAGTTCTATCCTAATTTCCTCCCAAATCCTGATGAGTCTGCATTGGAAATAGATGTTGACTCTTCCTCAGAGACAAGTTTCCAAACTGCTCCAGAGTATTAATAGGAAAGTAGGTTCCACAGTTTCCATAATTGAAATTGGGCAGAGAAAATTAAAACCTAGACTAGGAATCATTTTGTTTGTTGCCAGTAAGTCTTGGCAAATTACTGTTTACAGCTTCCTGAGAAATCTGCCTTGGGACTCTTACTGTTTTAAGGATGATAAAAACAGTGGCTGCTATACTAAGTAACAGATTATAGCTCTGTCAAAGCACCAGCTCAATCAGCTGTACTAAGAATTGTAGTTAAACAGTGTCTCTCTGGAAATAAATCTTTTTAAAAATTACTTCCAGCATAAAAATGTAAATTCTGTAAACAGATTGTTAGACAAACAAGCATAGATAACAGAACGTTTTTAAAAATGTAATTCTTAACAATATTATGTGTTAGGATTAGTTTTATAGCACTTAAATGGAATTGGATTTTTACTCCCTTAAGAGGAATTGGATTTTTACTCCCTTAAACACAAGTGAGTTTCTTAGTGGCCTCCAGTGTCCATTTGCCTTATATTTAAACATACTTTTGTGTTTATGGAAAGTTGTCTGCAGAAGATACTGTGCAGTATCTTGTGGAGGAACAGTATTATTTTAGGTTGTTATATGTACTCTGCAGTTCCTGTTACCTTTCCTCTGTGTCTCTTTCTCTCCTGAAATACTTCAGGTGAAAATGGCATGAGAAATGGGACACCTTCCCCTGAAGTGTAAACAAGTACAGTTTCAGTGACTTCAGAGGACTCTTTTTTTTTTTTTTTTTTTTTTTTGGAACTTCAGATAAAGGCTTACTACTTGATCAAGTATTGAAAAGTCGGTAAAATAGTGACTGTGGTTAGTAGCAAGCAGTATGTGGAGAAGGTGTTAAACTTTACAGAAGATGTTAACAAAACTCAGTGTATAGCAAGTGGTCAATGATGTTTAGCAAGTGGTCAATGATGCTTAGGTTGTCTCTCTAATTGTTACCCGATCATTTTGGTTTTTGTTCCACTCCAGTTTCAGCGATTTTTCTTTCCTTCTTTCACTTCCCTGTTGCTAAAGAAAGAAAGGTGTCCCTCTGTCTCAGTGAGGTAGGATGACCCAAAGGAAGTTTCCCAAGATTGTCAGGCACAGCAAAAGCATAAGGCTTGGTGGAGGTGTCAGTATTCAAGGAGCTCTGCAGAGGTCTCAGATAATAGGTAGAAAATTTAGCCAAATCATACCTCTATTGAGAAATGGCAGCTTAAACCATTTCCACTACAAAGGTTCTGCATGATTTGAACAAAGACAATGCATTAGTGGATGAGGGCATCTGGGAAGGAAAGTGATGTTAGGATTAGTTCTGTTCTCATGGCTTATCAGGCCTTGTACAATTTTTGAGTAGAAGGAAACAATAATGGCTTTAAAATTGATTTGCACGTGTGACCTTGGGAAGCTTCTCATTCAAGAGAGGGAATTCTGTGCAACCCAAGGAGAGAGCTGCTTGAGGGCCTCTTGTCCAGGGAAAGCAGTTGGATTGTGTTGCTCAGGAGCTAGGATGTGGGAGTGTGAGCTTTGGGCAAAATTTAGCACTTCAGTTGGGCTTGCCTTTCAAACAGTCTCTCAGTTGTGATTTCCCTAAGCTTGGAGTGCTGCATTTTACAATATACAAATGGATTTCAGGTTGGGGAGGAAGTGCTGAGCTCTCTATTTCCATGCTCTACAAGGCTGGTGCTACTTTACTTCAACTCTTCTGTTCATTTTTTGGATGCATATATCATCAGACTTGCAAAAAAAAGAAGTTGGAATTGTTACTCTAACTACAATTAAAATACACAAAATCTCTTCTAAATTGTCTTCATTCATTAATTTACCAATGTTTTAGAATTAAATCAGGAATGCCAAGTTTTGCTTCTAGTCTTTGTTGGAATACTTCTATTAACTACACGTAAATCAACCTTAACCACTTTTTCTCTTGGGCACAGCTCCCATTTTGTCTCCTTTTTCTAAAATAAAAACCACAATCTCTGTTACCATGGTCTCTGAGCTTTCTTGAGTGTAATTCACCCTAGTGCAAGTTAAATCAGAATGTCTTGATGTCATTGATGGTTCTGAGGTGTTTTTTTTAAGAGTACTACTCTGAAGTTTGAGAGATGCTTGTGCATACTCCGGCTGGGCCTAAATGTCACCTCAGTTTGAAGTTCTGTGTTTTTCTGTCTTTTTTTTTGGTTTTTGATGGGATTTTTGCTTTCTGCAATCAGTTATTTTACAAATACCTTGTTGCATTTAAACCGAAATAATTAAAAACCAGAGAAAGTTGGGTGTGAAGGGAGAAAACAAAGGGTGCATTGTTTCTGAGCTAAAAACTAACTTAGCAGATAACTAAATATAAATAATATCATAATAACCTATTAAATAATTTGTTCTATGAATAATAGATGCGTTAAAATATTTATTTATATTTAATACAGATATTTTAAAACATATAAATATATCAGTTATGTAAAGTATAACTAATATATAGTAACTATACCATCTATAAATATATAATACAAATATAAAAATGAAACACAGAAATATCTAGAGATAATTTAATGCAATGTAAAATAATAGTAGTAGTAATAATAGGAATAATAATTACAATACCAACAATTTTAAGTAAGTTACAAGACAAGTTTTCAGTTTCAAGTGCCCAATCTGCTTCCCCGGGTTTGGGGTGAATTCCGTTTCGGCTGACAAACACACACGTGAGTTTGGGGTGAATTCATGGGATCTCGGTGAAACAAACACGTGGGTTTAGGTGAATCTCCTGCGTTTGGGTTGAATTCCCCGGGTTTAGGCTGAATCCCGCGGGTCCATGGTGAATTCCCTGGGTTTGTGCGGAATCCCGCAGCTCTATGGCGAACTCCCCGGGTTTCGGTGACCCCCGGCCGCAGGAAGCGCTCCCCTGGCCCTGCCCCTTCCGCCGTCTCGGCCAATGGGCGCCGGGTGGGGCCGCCTGTCATGGCCGTCCCCGCGCTGCGGCCCTGAGCGCCCCGAGCTCGTCGGAGCCGCCTAGGCCGCTCACGCGCCGCCGCCACCGCCACCATGGGCACCGTGCATGCCCGGGTGAGCGCCGGGGCCCTGGGGATCGGCCGGGGCGGGACCGCCGCGGGTGGGACCCGGGGCGGCTCGAAGGTCGCAGGGCCCCGCGCTCCTCGCCTCGACCTTCGGGCCGGGCACGGCGCGGCCGGGAACGGGGCTGGGGCTGCGATCGGGGGCCGTGTCCCGCCTCAGCCGCTCCGCGCCTCCGAGCCCGCCGATTGTGGCACAGTCGGGCCGGGGCAGAGAGAAGGGGTCGGAGCCCGTGTCGGTGCTCCGAGGCGCCTTCCCTTCCCAGCTCATTTCTGGTGGTTTTATAGAATCATTCATACTGGCGGCTCGGAAGCGGCCTTTATGGTCGTGTGGTGACACGTCCCCGCTCCCATGGGCAGGGACACCTTTCACTATCTCAGGTTGCTCCAAGCCCCATCCAGCCTTGCCTTGGACGCTTCCAGGGATGGAGCAGCCACAGCTGCTCTGGGCAATCTGTGCCAGGGCCTCAGCATCCTCCAAAGCAGATAAATTTCTTACTGATTTTCTTCCTATAGAATACCTGGGTCTTTTTCAGGTCTTTCCTGAGGCTTTCCCAGAGCTGACCTCCCCAGGGGGTGGGCTGGCAAGAACGATGCTGGGGGAAATGAAAATAGAATAAAAACGACTCAAACCAAACAAAACCCATAACCAAGCAGCTGTAAAAAACACGGTGCAAAGAGAAGCACCCCTGGTGAGACTTGGAGGCTGGAGCCTCGTATTACTTGGAGAGGCTGAGGGACCTCACATGCCTGAAATCATCATGAATAGATGCACAAATATCCAATCCAGCTACCAGTGCCTAAAGAAGAAACATAGAGGTCTAAGTGTTCAGTTTTAAGGCTGAAGAACAACTGCAGGGAGCTGCCTCCAGTTAAGGCTCTAGAGTATGTAAATACCGTGACTAATGTAATTTCTGTTTCAAGATTTTTTGCTTGCATTCTCTGTTTTGTGTCCATCTGTGGTGTGAACTGCTAGACAATATTGTGTGGAGACAGAGTGTTTCACACTTGTCTGAAATTTGTGGCAGTGGTAGAACCTTCTGTCTTCTTTTAAATGGATTTTGATGTGCAACAGCAATTTACTGCTCAGGAAAGCAGCTATTCTGATAAGTCTCCTTTTGGGACTCTTTCAGGTATAATAAACAAAGCCATGCTGTGTTTCATTAAAGTGTTTACCTCTGATAGTCAGAACCTGAGTTTCTCAAGACGTATTTGAAAAGAATAAGGCTTAAAATAAAAGAAATACTGAAATACAAAGGCAAATAAATACATGCAAAGCAAACTAACATTCTGAGAACACCCTTTTTATTTTACTGTTTGGCATTCATAGTTTTCTACCTACTAAAACCCAAACTAGAGAAGTGACAGCCTGAGCTTTTAGATTTTTTTTAAGAAGGTGGAATTCATCTTTTTACTCAAGAAGCCTGTATTCAAACTTAAGGCTATTTTTTGGAAGAATGCAGAGTATTTTTCAGAAATCATTCAATGTGGAAGCTATTTAGCTTTCATTAAAAATTTCAGCAAGCAGTTAGGTGTCACATGTTCTGGTAATTCCTTTCATTTTAGTTCTCTTTTGCTTTTTTCCCTTAGGATTGGATAAGCCTTCTGTTGAGAACCATGGGTTTTTCTTATTTACAAAAGCCACCAATCACAAATCTGCATACTGTATTAAATGCTGTTTTCCTTTATGCTTTCAGAGTTTGGAGCCTCTTCCAATGGCTGGGCCAGACTTTGGTGCCTTGGGAGAGGAAGCTGAACTGGTTGAAGTTGAACCTGAGAGCAAGCAGGAAATTCTTGAAAACAAAGATGTAAGTGCCTGACCAACATCCTGAATTTTTTTGAGAGAAATAAATGCCTTGGCAGTTTTTTCGGCAGTTGGCAGTAACAGAAGGTTGTTGTTATTTTGCTGTTGTATTATACATGAATACACAGAGTCATACAGATATTTCTGATAGAGTTATTATAATCTTCATAGTCTCTTTTACAGACTCTGGTATAGAATCATAGAATTGTTTAGGTTGGAAAAGACCTCTAAGATCACAGAGTCGTAACTGTTAACCCAGCACTGGCAAGTCGAGCACTAAACCATGTCCGAAGTGCCACATCCACATGGTTTTTAATCCCCGCAGGGGTGGTGACTGCCCTGGGCAGCCTATTCCAATCCTTGACAACTATTTGAAGCAGATTTTTTTTGACATTTACCCCTAAAATTATAATTCACTTATAAGATTGGAAAAATAAGGGAAATGCAATCACTGGACTCCGTTTGTACTGAGTAGTGTGGAAGGTGCTGTGATTTTTACAGTAAAATTGTCTCAGGTGATTATGTATCAAAATGAAAGTATAAAACCTCATAATGGGAGTGATTTTCAGCTGCATTTCAAACTGCACTGCTTCTGTGGTAGTGATGATTTTAAAAAAGAAGTAGCAAATAACTATGACTAACTACATAATTCTGTCTTATGTACTTACTACTTGTGTGATTTCTGCAGTTGCCTCTTTGTCCGTACAACATTTATAACTAAAACCCCAGCAGCTGCAGTCTATCAGTGTTTCTTCTGCTACAACCAGTGTTAACTTTGGTGTTAGAGATCTCTTTTCTTTCATTTTTGTGTTACGGGAACAATGTCCCAGAATCTTAGAAAGCAGTCATTTCTGATGATGTAGGTTAGCAGGAATTAGCCCTAGGAATCACCAGGGTTTCTCACAATAATTTTTATGCATTGGTGACCTTGATCCTCGTTATTAGATGCAAATCCAGTACTTGTGTGTAAAGATTTGTTGTGTTTAGGTGGTGGTTCAGCATGTGCACTTTGAGGGACTTGGAAGGACAAAAGATGACATCATCATGTATGAAATCTCTGATGTTTTCAAGGCAAAAAATCTCATTGATGTAAGTGTTGCAGCGAATAACAGACTTGCTGTTTAAAAGTTAATTAATTTTTTTTCTCTCTTTTTCTTGCTTTGGGCAACTCCCTTCAGACAAGGGGCAACTCTGTCAAGAGCAGGGGTCCTCTATAAGGTGTAACTACTGGAACCTATTTGAATAACTGTTTTACTATTAAAGTAATTAGGAAGCAAACTAACAAAAGGTATGAAGGTATTGAGCCAGATGCTCTGGCTTAAATGGTTTAAATTATTTCTGCAGATGCAAGTGTTAAAGTCGTTGTGTTCTGTTTTGAAGGTGCACATCTGTTTCTTTATATACAAAATCTGTGAATATTTTACAACTTAGCTGCATTTTAACTAATATATCCTCATTATTTTTTGTTAACCTGAAAGACTGAAAAGGACTAGATTATCTTGAAAGCCCCTTCCATCCCAAATATCCTCTGATTCTATGACTGAGCTACTTTTCTCATGCTGTAGGTGATGAGAAAATCTCATGAAGCTCGTGAGAAGTTGCTTCGTCTTGGAATCTTTAGACAGGTGGATGTTCTGATTGATACCTGCCAAGGTGTGTATTCCTTTCTTTATCCTCACCTTTATTCTCATATATTCATACCTGTAATATATAATTCCCTATGTAATAGGTTTGACATTTTTTGTGTGTGTAACTTAGTCTTGTATACCTTTACATATATTTTAGATGAACAGATGGGTGTGCTGTGGATACAAATGTATCTACATCAGTTATCCCTATGAAGGAAATCTGTTAGCATGTGTTTGCATATATGTGTATGTCCATGAGTGAATTTTCAGCACTTACAGTGATTACAGTAAACTTTCCTTAATCCACAGTTTCAAGGAATGTGTGAGGGGAAGCTTGAAAATGTGTCCTGTACTTGTATTGCATATCACATTGGCATGAAATTATTAAAGCCGTAATCCTGTGATTGGGTCAAATTCTGCACTTACATCCAAACATCCTTTTCTCAAGCCATTTCCC